GGACATCACACTGTTCTTTCATTAGAGCCTGCTAGGAAAGTACTTACTCAGCACAAACAGTTTTACCAGCTGATGTATGAGCTGACACTAACACAGACTGGTTATTATCCACACAAAGAATAGCTTCCCTCTGGAAGGCATCAAGAATAAATGGATATTCCTAGAAAGAAAAGAAGCAAAAAWGTTATAGAATTTTAAGACATACTTACATCAAGTCATCTTTTCTGACTGATTTAATGTGTAAATGAGAGAATTAAATCCTGCAGCTACTTGTAATTTTCACTGATCGTAATCCACTATTATGCAAGGACYTTGTACTTAAATATTTTTATCTCATGGCATATCCAAGATCTTTGCTTATGTCTTGTTATCATAGAAAAGAAAATCTTACCCTGATGACTGAATTTTCTCTAATTTATTCTTTTAGGARGAGACTACAGTGCTGCCACTGCCTGACATTAGAGAAAGAATGGACATCACAACAACCTATACACCTCATTCCATCACRTAATTTTCTCTACCGAATTTTAAATACAGAAACATTCGTCTTACTTATGACAGGCCATCTTTTATATACCTTACTAACAAAGTACACATTTTTYCTCTCTACTCTCACCTAATATATAAAACACGTACAAAAAGAAAAAGACATCTGCCACATACTTTTGCAGCTTTCCCAGTCCTTGGCTTCAGACCGGTGAATTCTTCATTTATTGGAAGCGCAACCTATAAAATACATTTAAATAAAAACAGTTGCAGATTTCTGGGTTCACAGGAGCGACATTTCTGGCAATGTCAAGTGTATGGAAACTGATTTGAATTTCTGTTATCCTATTTCTACAAGCTTAGGTGTCAAGGGATCCTTCTCAAGAKTTTTTCAATCAATTTCTGTATTCTTTTGGCCCAACAATGCTCCTTCTCTCATTTCTCTGGTATCCCTACTGTCTTGTGTGAGGTTATTACTGCTTCAGCTACCTTCGAATACTAGCTTTTCAGGCCAAGTCACAATCATGTCTTCCAGCCAGTGGATGTTTAAAGCAATTACTGAGCTCACATCGAGAATGTTCCCTTTCCAAGTACACTGTTTTTATACTGGTAACATTCCTGTTCCTGACCAATAGCTAACATTTACTAATGCTTAATACTTAAGCTCTCTTCAGTAAYTAAGTGATGGCAAACCTTTACTGGACATCTCAAAATAACAAAAATTGTACAGACGCATGGGCTTTAGAACCCTTAACAGTAGCTGTACATACAGTTCCTTCATTACAAAAGTCTGATGATACAGAGCTCAGAGCTCTTGAATTAATTAATTGACCCTAATTAACTTGAGTTAGTTCTGGAAAACAGCACAGAAGAGAAAAAGACCATAACAGTATAAGGAAGCTAAAATTTACATATTAGATTCTCATACAAACTTTTTCTGATAGTCATACATAGCTATAGGATGATTCTAAAAACCACAGTATTAATAGTTTACATTTTTCATATCCAAATTTGTGTTTATGTCTAGCGACACAATTTGAAAATAGGTAGTTTTCATTACTTTGCACATATGAAAATCTGATTTTTCATTTTCATGAAAACATAATTTTCAACAGTAATCACTTTTACAAGAAAATCTTTCATTCTTGAATAGAATAGCAGAATACTTCAATGCACTGATCACACTATCTACCACACTGAACACAAACCTATTTTACCAGCCAGTAGGTTTTTTTCAACAGCAGTGCTCAAAATTATCTTGGCAGCTAACAAATATGGAAACTAACTAACATTATCATCGAGCCTTTCACAATAATTTGAARTATGATTGAAGCTCCTTCTGGTAAAATAGCCTACTGATTTTCAAGTGCATTTTGCACATACTCAGTGTCTTCAAACTCTTCACAACCTTAAACACAGTATGAAATACTGTATCTCCTGGAGGACAGGAAGGCTCTGCAGAGGGATCTGGACAGACTGGATCCATGGGCAAAGATCAGTGGTGTGAAGTTCAACAAGGTCAAGTCCCAGGTCTTGCCCTTGGGTCRTAACAACTCTATTAAGCCCTGCAGGCACCACCAGGTGGGGGTCAGTTTTTTCTCTGAGGTAACAAGCACAAGGACAATATGAAATAACCTCAAACTGTGAATGGGGAGATTGGACATTAGAAAAGAGTTGTCAAGCACTGARCCAGGCTGTCCAGAAGAGTGGCTGAGTTATCATCCCTACAGCTATTAAAGAGATGTGTAAATGTGGCACTTGGGGTTGAGGTTTAGTGGAGGACTTGGCAGTGCTACATTAATGGCTGGACTTAATGATCTCAAAGGCCTTTTCCAACCTAAAAAACCTGTGATTCTACAATATAATAATTACAAACAGAATAAAGAATGCTATTATACTGGCAGTGATATACAAAATTACATGAAACAGRAGTGTACTTATCATGTGCATTTTTACTGCACTCACCTCATGTGTACAGCCTTCAACAGTGTCCACAGACTGCACCTTCACTTGAGGCATCAGATCTGTGAGACTAAAGAAWTAGGTGTTAGGATTGCCAAAAAATACTCAAAAATCCTATGTTCTTYATAGATGTGATCATGCTGAATTTCACCTCTACTTTAGCTGTAACATTAAAAAAAAGGGATGCGCAGTCTTGGCATGGACAGGCAGCAGAGTTTACTACCTGGAGGTTAAATTTTTGCTACCATATAAATCTACTTTAGCTACTGACTCAAAAATTAAATTGCACCACAAAACAGCACTTAGGTCACATTTGTTCACATGAAGTTTTATACTTAAACAGGGGCTTTTTRTAATACACAACTAAACAAAATTCAAGACCTGTACTCCTGCTAATAGTCAGAATGAGTCTAAAGCATCCCATCCAATGAGTCTAAACCATCTCATTGCTTTAGCAATGAGTCTAAAGCATCCTCTTGCCTGAGGACAAGACCCCTTTTTTCTTTACCAGTTCCTTCTCTCATGGCCACAAGGAGGGACTAGAATCTCAATGCATGAAACTGTTTATTTCTGATGGTTTTAACATACTTAGTAGGCTACTGCAGCCAAGTATATATTCTACTAGATGGCTCTCGTTCTGTTTTCCTTCTATACACTTATTCCTTGTTTAGAGTACTCTGAAAAGTCTTCTCATGAGCTTCTAACAGAAAATTCGACATTGAACTTCAGAAAAGTTATATGCAAGTGCAAATGACAATGTAGTTGTCACATGCCTCAAAAGCCTTGTTTATTTGCCAATTTACTCCTCCTGTAACCCAAACRAACCATGTCTTTCAATGTCATGACACACAGCAAGCCTGCCTCCTCCCACATACTTCCAGCTCATCTACTCTGTGTGAAATACAAACGATGACTTTGATCAAGAGTCACCAATTCATGTAAATAAATTCATGAACATTTTGTACTGCAAACACCTATGGAATTGCAGTATATCTTAAACACACTCTGTGCTCACCACTGCTGAGGCTGAATTACCAGTACATTCTCTCTTAAAAAGATAATGGATAATCAAACTTGARCAGATTCATCTTCATGTGAAAACGCTACAAAACTACTTTATATTGACTGCTCCCAACTGGCACACCTAACCTGCTCCCAACTAGCTAACCTAACCAATGTGGCTTATTATAAATACCCATACTACTAATAACATTAATARGAGCACTTACTTAACATCTTCTGATAAAACATCTTCCAGTTTTGGCTTTTTTCCCAAAACCACATTTTCAGTACTATCAACCTCAGCTTCTCTTTTTGGCTTCACTATTGCTGGTACTGAAGGCTTTTCTTCCAACCGTTTTCTGCAACATAAACAGACAAGAAATTTAAATTTTTTTTCCAATTTATCTATTTATTTTCAGGAGAGAAAACAGATATCCTGAGGGCAACTGTGATCCCATTGCACTTGGAGAGCAGCCCAGGGAACTCCACCCGCAAAAACCGCCATGGAATTCCAAACTAGTTCCCAGATAAGTTACCCACCAGGTCACCATACTCCCCAATCGGCCACAGTGCCAGGACTGGCTACAGCTATGAGCCAGGGATCCTGGGAAAGCGAGTCACAGAATCACAGAATGCATCAAGTTGGAAGGGACCACAGTGGATCATCTGGTCCACTCTCCCTGCTCAAGCAGGRCCAACCTACAGCACATGGCACAGAAGTAAGTCCGGATGGTGTCTGAATATATCCGGTAAGAGAAATTCCAGAAAATCTCTGGGCAATCCATTTCAGTGTGGAGTCACCAAGGTACTAAAGAAGTTTTTTTCATGAACAGGTAAAACTTCCTGTGTATCAGTTTCTTGCCCTATTGCTCGGCACCACCAGGAAGAGACTAGCTGGATCCCCTTGGCACCCTTCCCTCTTATAGACATTTGTTCCCGAAGGGGTCTAGCAGCTCAAACAAGCCGGCAGACGCCCGGCCCAGAGCTACAGCCCTCACCCACGCCGCCAGAGCACCCCCGAYACGGTTGTTTGCCCCAGCCGCACTCCGCGCCCTTACCCCGGCCTCCTGGCGCCCTCGGCGGGGCCCGCTTTGCTCTTCTTGGCGCCAGAAGCGGCGGCGGCCGCGTCCTCCTCAAACACGCTGAAGAGCTCATCCCCAAAGGCCTCCGCCATCTTAGCCGCCGCGCTCCCACAATGCCCCGCGCAGGGCCGCGCGCCTCGCGCGAAAGTGGCTCTTCCGGCCCCGCCTCCCGAGGGGGGCCAGAGATTCCCGCTGGCCCTGGCACCGTCAGCCGCCCGCACGGGCCCGTGCCTGAWCCCGATCTCGATTTCTGTCTGGATCTGGATTTCGGCCCCGATGCCCGCCCCCTCCGTGAGCTCCTCCTGGGAGCACACACAGCACTTCGCCCCCGGAAGGGGATGTGCTTAGAGCCAAGACAGGCCGCGCGGCGTTCGCGCGTGCGCTGGGCGCGCTGGCCAATGGGAGGCGGCGGCGGCCGTGCTGTGCGCGGTGCCCGGATGTGCGCGCGCGCAGGGCGGCGGGGGCGCCATGGGCGGCCGCAACAAGAAGCCGCGCGCGGGGAGCGCCACGGCCGCCACCGCCACCGCCACTGCCACCGCCCGCGCCCGCGCCGCCCCCGCCCCGGCCGGAGCAGCCGCGGATCCGGGCAGCCGGGGCGCCCCGCCAAGACCAGCGCCAGCCTCCAAGGAGCCGCGTGTCAAGCAAGGTACCGCGCCTCGCGGAGCCCCGGGAGCAGCCCGGCTGTGCTGTACGGAGGAGGAGTGGGGCGCGCGGTGTGCGCGGATGAGGTCGCTCTGGCTGGAGGGGCAGCGGAGCCCCTGGGAGTGCGGCTGGCGCTGCCCGTGGACCGCGGCGTTACGAGGGGAGGCCGAACGTAGGGGCTGGTGTTTCACAGCGTCGGGAGAGGCAGCTGGAATCACTCTGCTCCCAGGCTGGTTGGGCYTGGCTTCAGCCCGCCTTGCTTGTCTAGCTGGTCATGGGAGGCGCTTCTCCCGGCCTCCTCGGCCCTCGTGAGGCCATGTCTGGTGTTCTGTGTCCAGGTCTGGGCTCCTCAGTGCAAGAAGGACGAGGAGCTAGCTACTAGAGCGGGTCRGGCAGAGGGTGGCAAAGATGATAAGGGATCTGGAGCATCTCCTGATGAGAAGTGAGGGAGCTAGGCCTATTCGAAGAGTGAGAGGTGCTCTCACATGAATCTATATATATATTTCAAAGGCGTGTGCCAGACTCTTTTCAGTATGCCCAGGATGCAATGGCCACAAACTAAAGGATAACAAGTCTCAATTCACCTCAGTGAGAAAGARGACCTTAACACCGAGGGTGGCAGGGCACTGGAACAGGCTGCCCAGGGAGGTCACAGAGTCTTCCTCCCTGGATGCATTTAAGAATTCACCTGGATTCGTTCCTGTGCCATCTGCTCTCGTGATCCTACCGTACCCGGTCGGGTTGGATTAGGTGATCTCTAGAGATCGTTTTCAGCTGTAGCTGTTCTGTAATTCTACTKCCGGGGATGTTTCTGAGCAGATAAGCTTTGTTGGCATTGGTGTGTTGAGTTAATTACAGAAAGACATTTTGTAAGATGTTCTTGTGGAGTAGGTGTTTAGATGGCACTTTTCCAGTGCTGCTTATATTGGTGTTTGTATGTTACCAAAATCAGTGTAAAGTGGATTTGGGATTATTGGGCGTTTTTTTCAGTCCTTAAAGAGCTGTTACAGGACCGGAGGCACTTCTGCAGTATTGGACAAACTGAAGGGTGACTGTTCTGGGTACAGTCTGAAAAACTGATAATCTGCAGCACTGTAAGATGCTTCTTTTCAAAAATCCAGCTTTGCCAGTGGTAGCTCAGATGTCATATAACATTAGAAAAGCGTGAGCAAATCATGTGATGGTCAGGGCATCTGAGATCCCAASTTGTTAAGAAAAAGTCTTGCAGTCTGATAGTGTAAGCCTCCTGAACCTATTCATGTACTGGGATTTTACAAGTGTGGGCTTTACTGAGTGTAAATCTCTCCCAGATTGTATACTGTGGTGAAAAATCAGTCAGTGTAAGGGAAAAGTAAGTTARTATATTCTAAAGACTGTGAGTTTGCAGAGCCTGCCATTAAGTGCTGGTGAGTAGCTTGAGTGCTGACAGCTGTTTGTATCTCCTGACCAGAGGTGACCATACTTTTTCTGAAATGCTGTAACCAAAACGTGGGCTGATCTAGAAGCAGGCTCTCCAGGGGCCGTTCTGCAGGCAGGCCAGCACGGATGAGATGTCCAGCCTGCCTGCTGGGTGATAGCTCTTCCTCCGGCCACACAGCATTATGGCAGCCATATGTTTGCTCAGTTTCTGTCTACCTGTGCAGAACCAGCACGGTATAGGTACTCTGAAAGTGATGGCATTCAACAGCAAGCTATGTGTTGCTATTCTAATGGCAATAAATAGTTTTGTGAATTAGGGTTTGGTTTTCTTAATAGCTGTTAAATGTAAAGTATTGAGGAATGACCATAGCAGAGCAGACCAAAGGCTTCTGTAACCCAGTGCTTTCTCCTAAGGGGACCGAAGTCCTAGATAAGTACCTAAATAAGAACAGATCAGACATGCAGTGATACTTCTTACATCCTCCACCAGATGTGATTTAAGGTCTTCCTGAATGAGATACAAWTTTTTTTCAATGCTTTCTCATGTCAACTGTTTTTTTTACTGCAAAACTATTCTGTCTGGCCTTGGACCTCAGTAGATGTCCTCTATCCCTAGCTTTAGTGGTGAAGAGTTCTTTTACATAGCTAGGCATTTCCATTTACTTCCTTATTTGGCAATTCCTTTTTCAGTGTTCAGAGAGAGTGAGGGGTCAATCCCATTTCCTCTCATTATACTCTTTGAATTTTATATTTGTCTGCCAAGAGTCATAGCCCTCYTCACTATTGCTTATTCAAGGCCTTTCTTGATTATTCAAATCSTTATGTGCCTCCAAGTTTCTGGCAAGTGAGTGTGATACTTTGCACTAACCTGTGCAAACTTGTGTCATGTTAGATCTGCTTTAGTTATTATAAACAATATTCTCTGTGGGTTTTGTGTAATTGATAGTTATTTCTAATTTGCAGGTCCAAAAACTTACAGTTTTGGTTCAACAACAGATTCCAGTGCTGCTGCAAATCTAGATAAATCTGTTCTTAAGGTGAGTATCTTCTTTACATAAAACAACTTTGATTTTCATAGTACTGCYTCAGCTGAGTAAATCTTCAACTCAGTATTACGTTATGCAAGAGAACTACATTACTGAGTGAGACATTGGCAGTTATGGTTTTGATTTTGCTTAGGCTTTTGAGTGTGCTCTAAGAAGTWGGGACAAATTAACAGTGTAAGAGAATGTCTGATTTTTAAATAACAAATGATACTTGGCATGTTACAATGCTGTTTAGACACAGAAGAGCAGAGGAAACTAAGTTTCTGTGAATAAGGTGAATCAAACTCCAAAAGGTTTGAAATATACCTGAAAAACGTGATTAAAAACCAACGAGGTTAGATGCTGGTGCCAAAAAAAACGTATTTCATTTAGTAGTAACAGAGGCAAAGAGAGAAAAAGAGACAAGAAAGAAAGATAGATATAGAAAAAGTGTGTGTGCATGGTGTGTGGGGATGGGACAGGGAAAGAGTGACGGGAGTTAGATGGAAACRTATCACTGTTTCAGGGTCACAGTGAATCTTGTGTCTCCCCTGGGTGGTGAGGTTCCTCACTGCATCCGCCACGCCAGTTACTGTAGAATCCTGTACATTAATACACATTTTGGGCAGGTGGGAATGCCCACGTGTCTCCCTTGCAAGGGGCTCAGTTTTAACACTGTCTTTTGCAGCACCATGGATTTGTTGCACTATGTCTGGTGTCAGGTCTGGCTCATCCCTTTGAGGGAGGCCCCTTTGATGGGCCATTGACACCCCTTTGGTTTGTCCTWCACGTGGATAAGCTTTTCCCRGAGTGAAGGGGCCCCTTCTCTGCAGAGTGGACAATGGGTGTTTAGAGGCTTTTTCACTACACACCCAAAGCTTCTCCTTGCCCCACCCTTTGATGTCAGTGTCTGCTGGCCTGGCAGCTGATAGCCCTGGGCATATGGTCTCCACCCTGAAGGTGTTAAATGTGTTCCCAGTTGTCTTGTCTCCCAGTTGTATGTATCTTTGATCAGTGGGCAGTGAGCAGTGTTGTTCAGGACCTCAGCCAAGGGTCCCATTCAGGGTTTTCATGGTTTTTCTCTGAAACTTTTGTATAGTTTTTCTATGATGTGCAAAAAGTCCTTAATAAAAATGTTTRCATCATAAACGATAACGTCTCTGACAGTGTGCAGGACTATTTTAAAGGTTGGATTTGGGCTTCTGCTGTACATACGGATTTTTCTCCGTGTTAGAGAAGAGGTACAAATTTTTATATAACTAACTTAGTAGCAGCTAAAGCTTGGTTCATACTTTAGAAGAGTTTCAAATATTAGAATTATTATACTACAATAACTTTTAAAGATATTTGGAAAGGAAGGTATCACAGGTTGCATCTCGATGTTCAAATTATTTTATACCAACGGAGGAGAGAGGCCCTGATTATTTGGGTTGAAATTTTTTWAAATTTTTTACAGTATCTTCTTTAATATACTGAATTTCCTTGAAAATGTAAATGGGCTTTCTTTGTAATGAGAAATGAGCTCTTCCATTTCAAGTGAAAGTATGTAACTTGCAGGAGCTAAAGAAGAGTGCTCGTTGTAAGAGTAGTTTTGGCCACTTATGGAAAGCTGGAAAAGCTGGAATTTGAATGGCAGAGAGTTTTCTGTGTGCTTGCATCCTTAGTCATGAAAAGCATTGACATGTCATAAAACCTTCTAGTGTTTAACTTGTATCAACTAATTTTTTCTTTGCAGGTAATGATAAATGGTAATTTGGAGAAAAGAATTATTGATGTGATTAATAACCATAAAAACCAAAATGATGACAAAGGAATGATTTCAAAAAGACTAACGACAAAGAAACTACAGGTAGAGTTCAAAGTTTTATTTTCCATTATTTTTTTAAAAGTTTGTTTTTTGTCATTAATAACAAGTGTTGTACTACACTTCTGCATGCAGTACAAGCTGGTACAGCACACTTTTCAGTTGTTATATTAATGATTACTTAGTGAAACCAAGAATTATGCTTATAAAAAAAGGCACATCTTCATGGATTCAGGAACTAAAATCAAGAACTTTCAGACAAGATCAAGGAATAGTACTTAATTTGAATAGTACTTAATTAATAGTACTTAATTAACTGCATTTTTCATTACATGTAGYTGAAAAATTGCAGGTATGTCTTTATTTAGCTAGAAACTACATTGTATGAAGGGATTTGTTTGTAGATTTGTTTGTACCTATGCATGCATATTTATAAAGAAGAATCATAAACTCTATGTGCAAAACAGAATTTTCTGCTTAACTTTTGGGTACGTTAATGCATATTGTTTATCCCCCTTTAARTGCCAGCTTTCTGATATGTGGGAAGTTGAGTTTGGCAAGCCTGTATTAGATTGCTAGATTAAATCCTAATTTTTTCTGGTGGTCTTATTTATAGGATGTATACATGGCTTTACAAAGATTCTCTTTCAAGACTGAGCACATTGAGGAAGCAATGAAAAATACACTTTTGTATGGTGGTGATCTTCACTCTGCRCTTGACTGGCTTTGTTTAAACCTTCCTGATGGTGAGTGTGGTAACAGAAAATAGTTATTGGCAGAAGAGAAATACGACCTGCTAAGCAGTAGCATTACTGTTTCACAGTAGTCATTAATTATAATGTTTTCTCTAAGACTGGTAGTTGCAACAGCATTCTTTTCCTAGATGCACAGCTGACTGSTCCTGGGATAATTTAGTGTATGAAGTCTTGTGGATTTCCTGTTTCTTCTTCTGTGGAAGCCCAACAAGCAAATACTGTTGCATAAATGCTAAAGCGAATTTTTATTTCAGGTTTTGTTCTTCTAGTTGGTTCCCAAAATATTTCAAAATATTTTCCTGTAATTATTATTGGCATTTTCTGTGACATGTTTTTTTTTTAATTTTGAAGATGCCTTGCCTGAAGGCTTTAGCCAGCAATTCGAGGAACAGCAGCAGAAACCTAGAGCAAAATTTTGTTCTGCTGTGTCACAACGTGGACCACCGCCTCGCTTAGAAGATAACARGAAGAAAGAAAATGGCCCTGAAACTAAGGTAATCTGAAAATMTAATCTGTTGTTACTTGGCAGGGGGAGAAGAGTGAACAAAACTTTMTAAAATACGTGAGTTGGATTGACTTCCAACAGTGATGTAGACAGCTTATGAAAATGTTGTATGATTAATAATTGTCGCCTACATTTAAATTTCAGTAGTTTGAAGGTATTTTTTTCTCTGGAGTCTAGAAGGTTCTTCCTAGTTAATTTTTTTTTGTGCTGAAGCACAGGGAATYTTGTGAGGTTTAGATTGGGTATTAGCAAGAAATTCTTTACTGTGAGGGTGATGAGATACTGGCTTTGGTTGCGCAGAGTAGCTGCTGATGTGCCATCGTTGGCATTATTCAAGGCCAAATTGAATGAAACTTTGAACAAACTGGTATAGTGGAAGGTGTCTCTSCCTATGGCAAGGRAGCTGGAACTAGATGTGCTCTAAGGTCCCTCCCAACACAAACCATTTCATGATTCTATGACTTAATTGCTTAATTTTGTCATAATGGGTCTGTTTATTTACGTATGGCACTCTTTATGTATTGGAAATCTTAACGGTGCATGTGGGTTTAAGTTTGCTTATACACTTTCAGTGTTTTGATTTCTGTGGTTATTAAATTTTAAACTAGAAATAAAGAAATTTCATGCAAATGATTTCATTCCTTACAGCAGTTATACTTAATCTAGTGTCAAGATCTGTTTGTTTATATAGTGGGATATTCACCCTGGTTGGGGAAGTTTGCTCCATTGTTTTTTTGTCATGTAACTCATTTTATATGTAAAATCTTAAATWTTAGTTCCTGGTTATTGGCAGAAAAAAACATCAGTTTCGCATACKTTCTCATTACTTCTGACTTTAGGAAACGAATGTGAGGAAAGAGAAAGAATTGAGTATGAAGGAATGGATATTGCGATACGCTGAGCAACAGAGTGATGAAGAGAAGGATGAGTCTGTGAAAGAGACAGATGAAGAAAAGTTTGATCCAGTAAGTCAGAATAATGCTTCATTGAAGTCTCTAAAAACTGATATGTCTGGTAGACCTGCATGTAGTGGATCTTTTTGTTACCAATTGGGGATTGAAATTTTTTTTTACTTTAGCAGTCATGTATCGGGCTACTGAAGGGAAATCTGTTGAAGCTTCTTTTCTAAGTTGTTTTTCCTTTTTTATATTACTTGTACTGGGTTAAAAATGTTGAATGTAATATGCTGGAACAAAAAATTTAAAGTATCTTTCAGTGAGATTGAGTGAAGTACTGTCAAATTGTGGGAGGTCKTGACTGTTAGTTAAAGAAAAACTCATTCTTTCTCTGTTGTGTAAGTTTGGTATAGAGGACAAAACCCCCCACACTTTATTATGAAGGTCATTAGAAGTGAAAAGCATACCATCTCAAATTGTAATTAATAATTCTGTTTGAAATAGAATGAGAGGTATGTACATCTGTCTGCCAAGCTTTCAGAAGCGAAAGAACAAGCAAGCATCTCCAAGCAAGACAAAGACAAGCAAGGCCAGAAGGCAGCACAAGAGAAAATAAGAAGAATTCAGCAAGGTAGAGCTATGCAAGTTACATGTGTTGTTTTTTTCTGGCTTGCATATTTGTTAGACAATTAAATCTTGGAGTCAGATTGAAGATGATTTCATTGTGTTTTATGCCACTGTGTGAAATGAATCTGAGTCTATTCTTTCTCAGTCAAATTCAAAAAAGTCAGCAACATTTCATTAGTTCTGGTTGTGGGAACTCAGGGTGAATTAATACAGTTGTTTTTTAAGTACTTGTTAGGTGTGAGTTTGAGTTATGTTCTCTCTCTGACAGAAATGGCAGTACTTGAAGAACACCCAGTATTTAACCCAGCTATAAAGATTTCAAACCAGCAGCAAAATGAAAAGAAAAAAACTCCCTCACCTCAGCCTCAAGAAACCACTTTGAATTTGAGTTTGCTTGAAAAACCTGATGGTGCTGCAAAGGAAGACAAAGGTGCGTTGGAAATGGTTCAGTACGAACTTGAGTCATACCACAGGTTTTCCTAGTTTTTCTAGGCTTGCAGTACTGAGTTGGCAAGCTCTGAATCTGGGAAAGGAAGGTGTACTATCACAGAACCAATTAGCTTGGAAAAGACCCCTCAGGTTGAGTCCAGGCTTTGACCAAACATCACCATGTCCACTAGACCATGTTACCGAGTTCAAAGTCCAGCTTTCCTTAAACAGCTCTGGGGATGRTGACTCCACTTCCTCACTGAGCAGCCCAATCATCACCCTTTCTGTGAATAAATCCCTCCTAATGTCCAGCCTGAGCCTCCCCTGATGCAGATTGAGGCTATGTCCTGTCACTGRTTGCCTGAGAGAAGAGACCAACCCCCACCTGGCTATGGGTTCCTTCCAGACTGTTGTAGAGAGTGATAAGGTCACCCCTGAGCCTCTTTTTCTCCAGGCTGAACCACTCCCAGCTTCCTCAGCTGCTCCTCACAGGATTTGTGCTCCAGACCCTTCCCCAGCTC